AGCTGAGGCTTGAGATAGAACGAAACAGAGGGATGTTGGTTGAGAGAGGAAAGACGGTTAAAGGCGACGATGAGACCATGGTGGAGGGCGACGATAAACAAGAGTCGCGATGAGAAGTTGGAGAAGGACAAACAAATATCGTTGCAAAAAGTAAAATCCTAAAACTACGTATATATACAGTTCAGTTTGAGTTGAACCGTACATTTTTCTAAACTCGTAAACCAATTCGAACCAAACTGATTAGTTCTTAACAAAATGAACTCTACCCAACTCTTATGATTCAAGTTTGACTACATTTAGGTGTGGAAATCTGAAGTTCAAATGGAACCATTCTGCTCCTCAAGATTCATTTGGCTTTTGGGAAAGCTCAAGATTCATCTAAATTTCAAGCTAGGCTACTAGAGATGCAGGTACATTCCATGATTAAGAATGAATTGAGAGAGACAGGAAGTCAAATGCTAAACAAAAAAGGAAACTCCGACTATAGAATAATATCGATCGATATCAATCATCGACAAAAACCGAAAGACGGGAAGAGGAGGGCAGGTCTATCCCTAGTTGAACAATGATGCAACAGGAAGCAATGTAAGTAACAAAAGTAAGAAGAAATCAATCATATGATTAAGAATGAATTGAGAGAGACAAGAAGTCAAATGCTAAACAAAAAAGGAAACTCCGACTATAGAATAATATCGATCGATATCAATCATTGACAAAAACCGAAAGACGGGAAGAGGAGGGCAGGTCTAACCCTAGTTGAACAATGATGCAACAGGAAGCAATGTAAGTAACAAAAGTAAGTCAAATGCTAAACAAAAAAGGAAACTCCGACTACAGAATAATATCGATCGATATGAATCATCGACAAAAACCGAAAGACAGGAAGAGGAGGGCAGGTCTATCCCTAGTTGAACAATGATGCAACAGGAAGCAATGTAAGTAACAAAAGTAAGAAGAAATCTATCATATTTTCGAGTTCTATTATGTAACCTTCAATGAATGAAGGTACAGATCCCCAGTGAATTGCACAGACTCATAAGAGGAAGACTTCATATATAACAGAGAAGAACAGTGAGTATTGGCAAGGAGCACACACTTATATGGCCATTAAGAGTATCAATTCATGAAGACTATCAGGTGAATTACAAGAAGTAGATATATAAACTATAGCAATTGGAAAAATATAGCAACATGGACCTTGTATATGGTGTCATTCGAGGTCTACTATCCCAAAATTTGAGAGAAGGATCTTTACTTGATCAACAAAGTTTGAACCAGTTGCATACTCTGTCAGCAATCCAACGGCAAACCCAAACATCGCCCACCTGTTTAGTGCAAATCAACCCAGTAAGAGTAGTGATGATCCACCCATAACCAGTAAATTGAACAGCTGATTTCTACTAGAAGCTATGAGTTTCAGTAAATTATGGAACGAAGGTACCAAAAAGGACCAGTCTATCTCAATCCGATGCAAATCTTCAGGAGAAACATCAAAATCAAATAAACGCCACTCCCATATAAGTAAGAACAAAATCAATACACTGAATTGGAAAACGCTTGAAATCTGAATAAAATCAGCACAAAACACAGTGGATATGGTTTCTCAAACAGAGGAAGTGTTGCAAACGAATCTGTATTGGAAATGGATTGGTTATCCATAAAGATCAAGTAAAGAAATGGAGTTTAGGCACTTGAACATTATCAGAACTTGCAGCAAATCATAAGGTTACCAAGAGATCCTTAGGGATTGTATCCCTCAAAGAAAATTGAAAGAGAAGAGCCAATCCAAATATCAACAAGAGAACGAGTCAAATCGCAGTCAGTTGTTGGCAGGATCTATTGCTAATTTAATTGCAAAAGAATATCATAACAGCCAGCAAGAACAAATGAGAATATATCAGTTCAAAATTTAGTAATCACGATAGAAACGGAGGAGAAAGAGTGGAAACTAAATCGACCTTCCATTGGAAATTTCATTTTTCCCGATGAAGCCAAAGAACGGTCCCTGATCAGCCTCATCAAGCTTCTTCTGCTTAAAGTACTCCTGAAGCTCCTTAGCCTTCTGTCTCTGGAACTCCAATGTGATCACATTATCCAGTTTCGCAGCATACGCCGGCGACGGAGGCGTTTGCGATGGAGGAGGAGTCGGCTTGAGAGGAGGCGTCGGCGAAGGTGGCGACGGCGGCGATGGCTCTCTCAGAGAAGGAGCCGCCGGTCTCCGAAGAGGGCCTTCAGTCTGGGAACTCCTAATGGTGAAGACGAAAGGCTTGGTGGAAGAGAATCTGATGGAACTGTGAGCCGACGATGAAGAAGCGGAAGAGGTGGCTGACGCCGACGGAGAAGCGGTGGCCGGCGACGAGGAAGTGGCCGGGATTTTGATCTTGGCGAAGGGGATTGAACAGGCCCCCGACATTTCTGTTCTCTCAGAAATTTCTGTTTCAGATTGTTGAGGAACTGAAATGGAATCAGAAATGGGGAATTGAAGCCAAAGATTGATTGCTCGTGGGTTTTTGGAAGAAGTGGATTAGGGATATGTCTGGTGTGGATAAGATGTCGCCAAGTTTCACTAAAATACAAGCCATTGAGGAGCTTAGAGAATGAAGAAACAAAGATGATGGCTGATCCATCGATTTTCAACCATGCGATTGCTTTTTTTTTTTTTTTTTTTTTTT